TAATAACTTTCTATTTAAGGTTTCCTAAATAAACTAGGAATAAACATTTCCTAAGCATTCTAATGTATAATTTAATTTATTCTGGAATCTTTTCAAAAACTCAAAGTGAAATATTTGGAAAATGTTCCTATTCTCTCTTGATTAGGTAAATTCTATTCAACTATTTAACTAACTCTCTCTATATATACGTATCAACTCTCTCTATATATACGTATCAATCAAGACTCAACACATGGAAATCTACCAACAAATAACATGGTTCCTAATTCATATATACTGGATTTATGCTTCTTAAAAATAACATTAAAACTTAGGAACCATTTTGTGGATTTATGAAAATCACAGGTCTGATGTAAGTTTTCTATAATTCTTTTAATACAATTAGTATTGAAATGTAACAATAACCTAACTTGATCAATCTTCTCCCATCAACAGTTCTAAGAACTTTCTTTGCCCTATCACATGGACATGGTCAACCACATGTGAGTATAATAAATTATCAACAGATGAACAGCTCGGGAGGGGCTTGGAGAGATATAGAACACGACAGGGGACAAACAGTAACATCATTTACAGTAACAGTTACACAAGGAAGAATAAAACAAAGACATGAGGCAGGGTCTGCACACCAGAATTTGAAAGTAATGTGGATAAGCAGTCTTTTACCAGAATGTAAATTGTAACAAAGATGGAAAATAAATGTAGCTAGAGGAAGTAGATAGTATGCTATTACATGCTACAGAAAACAACCTAGATAAAAAACAATCAGTAAACATCACAGTAATGGGAAAAAGATACAAACTATAGAGAGCAGAAAATAATGAACAGAGAGAGACAATGAGGAGGAAAAGTGACCGTGAGCCAGGAGGGCCAGCTGCAAAATCTTAGTAGCACTTAGGATCACTTGTGACTTCTATCTCCCTTCTTTAAGCAGAGATCACCAACATGGAATAAAGAATAAAAGCCTTCAAAATCAGCAAATGAGGCCAATGTAAAACACAGCAGTTAGCACTAAGCAGTGGACAAATATTATCACTTATACAATGTAGACTGGCTTGTGAATTATGTGTATGGTTGGAGGTGATGAAAATTGATCCTGGCCTTGCACATGTTAGACGAGAGTTCTACCACTGAGCTACATCCTCAACTCCCACATTCAGAGTTGTTGTTTTTTTTAAAATAAATAAATAAATAAATAAATAAATAAATAAATAAATAAATAAA